TACCAAAGGACAGCAGGATGTCTCTGTCATTTATCCTACCAGATTTCCTCATAACCCACCAATAGTCAGATAATGTATACATTCCCAGTGGCAATTCCTGACAGTAGGATGTTTCATTCAGTCTTCTGGTCATTGACGTTTCAGGAGAAACGTGGTCCTCCTGTTCCACTGTAAGCCAAAGTGTGCAGAGTTTTATCAGTACTGTGCTGTTGAACATTCTGAAAACACACATAATACTAGACATAGGTGGGTTGATTAACAGATATGATGTTGGATGGAATGAAGTATATAAGTATGTATGTATATATAAATAGAACCATATCCTGTTTACATTTTCTATCTTTTGTTTTAATAAATATAAAAATTTGCTTATTATTTTCATTTATTAATAAAATTCATTTTCTCTAATGACCTATTCTGATTTATGCTCTACTCTTTTGATACCTCAGCCCCTCTTCTCAGTACTGTGTCCCTATCTGTTGTACTTTTTAAATGAACAGGCTTTTAATAACTACCAACCATATATGAGAAAATGTAGTAAGATGAAGGAAAGTTTATTTAACCAAGTTGACAATTGTAACCCAATAGACAGAAAAGTGTCCTAATGGCTTGCCAACAATACCGAGACTGACATGTTCTCTGGTCAGAGTACCACAAACTTCAAGCATATTACCGTAATATATACACAGTTGCACTGCGTGGATATAAGTAGTTCTTCAGTGTCTGTGAGATTCTATGAGCTGTGATTTGTTGATAAAGGGCCTTTTGTTCTTTTCCATTCCTCCAGCTCAGTGGCTCTTAAAGCCTTTCTTCCTTCTCTTACAAACAATTGGATTCCATAAGTTTTGAGGGGAGGTGTTTGATGGTGACCTCCAATGTAGAATTTTCCCCCCTTAATGTCTGGCACTGGGTCTATGTCTTTACTTCCATCTGCTACCAGATGTTGCCCCTTTGTATATAGTTGAATATATTCCTTGTCTGTATTTTAGATTTGGGTTACCCTATATAAATTTAATTTTCTAGTTCTTCCGATTTGCAAATTATCTGATGTTACACTTTTTAAAATTGTGTGTCACATATTATTTTCTGTTCTCCTGTTGTCAGACCTATAGATATTTTCTTGTTTCTGGCTATAATGATAAAAGCCAAAAAGGAGTGGTAGGATAGAGGTTTCTTTAGGTATATGTCCAAGAGTGGTATAGTTATCTTGAGGCAGATAAATTTCTTCTTTCAGTGAAACTTACAAATTGATTTTCATAGTATCTGTACAAGTTTGTATTCCCACCAGTGATGTAGGAGTGTTCCCCTTGCTCAACATCATTGTCAAAATGAGCTGTCAAGTGTGTGATTGATCTTAGCCACTCTGACCATTGTCGAATGGAATCTGAAAATAGTTTTGATTTGTATTGTCCTGACAGACAAAGATGCTGAGTAATTCTTCATTCCTTTCTCAGCATTTTGATGTTCCGTCCTTAAAAGTTGTTTAATGAGATCTGTAACTCATGAATAAAACTGTATATTTGGATTTTCTTGAGCTATTTATAATTTTAGGATGTTTTTAGTCCTGTGTCATCTGCAGAGTCAATAAAAATGTTCTCTCATTTTTTATGCTATCCCCTGGGCACATGGACCATGTCCTTTGCCTGACATATGCTGTTCAGGTTGCTGACATACCATTAATTAATTGCTACTCTGTGTGACTGTGGAGAGAGAGTTGTCTTTTCTGTCAGTGCATCTGTATTGTTACAAACAATTTCTTCTATCAGCTTCAGTGTATCTCCTGCTATGGTGATATCTATAGTCAACCTGGAATTAAATTTTGTATGTGGTAAAAATTATGGATCTATTTACATTCTTCTTGAGGCCTACATGCAGGTTGACCTGTACCATGTGTTGAAGATGCTGTCCTTTTTCCCATTTTGTGTAATTCTGGCCTCCTTATTAGAAACCATGTGTCTCTCTAGGTGTAATTTTGTATCTGGATCATATACCTGATCCCATTGATGGATGTGTCTACATTTATTCCAATACCATGTATTTTTACCATTGTATCTGTGTAATAACACTTGAAATCTACTAACATGAGACTCTTAGTAGAGGTTTTAAGGAAGAAAGGTTATCATCATTAATATATCCTGTGTCTATTTGTGGCTCTCTATGAAACTGAGAATTTTGCTTTCAATGTCTCCTAACAAATGGCTTCTGCATTATACAGGGGATTGTCTTGAACGAGTTAGCTTTTGCAACTTTTCTTTTTTTTTCTTTATTAGATTAATTTTACAGAACCTTGATCATGTGAACTCTTTCCTTCTTCTGACATTCTCCACAGAGACCTGAAGTATTTGCCATGCATAACTCTCAGTTGCTTGTTTAGGCTTACCCAAAAATATTTGATGACTTTTGTGGCTGTTTTGAATGGTGTATCTCAAATTTATACCTGAGACTTTCATTTCAATGCTTTTGGAAAAAAATATGTATATACATATATGCACACACACATTTTCTTAATCATTGACCAAGCTACTTTGCTAAAATTATTTATGAGCTGTATGAGTACCTATTTGTATTATTAGGGTCCCTTATACAAACTACCATATCATTTGCGAACAGTGATATATTGACTTCTTCCATTTGATTTTGTATCCCTTTGATCTACTTCAACTGTCTTATTGATGGTGCTAAACTTTTAATTATTACATGGATTGGATATGGATATAGTAGATAACCCTGCGTTTTTCCCAATTTGAGTACAATTTCCTAGAATGTCTTCCTATCTCTTAAACTTTGGTTTGAAACTTGTTGTGAATTGACTTTGATTTGTTAAATCATATCCTTTTATTCTAAATCTTTTCTGGACTGTTATCATTTAGGGTTGTTAGGTCTTGAATAAGACATTTCTGCATAAAGAGATTAACCAGAATTTGCTTTTTTTCATTTCAATTACATGATGGAGTGTATTACTTGGTATTATGTATTGGTACATCACTGAATCTCTGGAATGACACCATGTTGATGATTTTGGATGATCTGTTGGAAGAGTCCTTGAATTTGGTTTGCAATCATTGTATAGAGTAGTTTAAAATGTTTGCTCAGAAAGGAAACATATCTGTAATTCTCTGTCTTTATTGAGTCTTTCCATTGTTTGGCTATCAGGGTAAATGTGGCCGGATGAATAAAATTCAATGCCTTTTATTTCCAAGTTGTACATGAATTTGAGCATTATAGCTCTACCTCTTTTTTTAAAAAATCTAGCAACTATATGTCCCAAAAACATGTGGTCCTGGTATTTTGTTTGTTTGTGGGCATCTTAATTATACTAAGGCAACTAAGTATATTTAATTTCTTTTTCTGATATGACTCCATTTTGAGAAATTGTACTTCTTGAGAAAATGATCCTTTTCTTTCATGTTTTCCATTTGGGGATGAAAGGTTTTAACAAATGCCCTAATGATACTTTGGATTCCACATGTATCAGTTGTTATGCCCAATTTTCATTTCATTCATTTCCTATTATTTATTCTTTTGGTGTCATTCTTTTTCTGTCTGTAGATTTTATGTTTCTCATTAGGGTGCTAGAATGGGATGTCTCCATCTTTATGTAGAGACTGACTGCTCTGCATGTTCCCATTACACTGTCTTTCATTGGGTACCACAGGTTTTGGTATTTTGTGTTTGAATTTTCATGAATTTCAGGAAGACTTAAAATTCTATCTCCCTATATCTTTCTCTCTTTAGTGCACTTTTTCTTTGTCTTCATTTCTTGTTCCAGTTTTCATACAGTTGAGAAATGTTCATTGGTTATGGGTATCTAAGCAGTGTGTTGTTTTTTGATCTCCAGGTTTGATCTTATGTTAGAATGCAGGTAATTGTTCCATTTTCCTTCTAGATATTGGTACGTGCTTGGATCTCAATATTTGGTCAATTTTGGATTATGTTCCATGAGTGATGTTTTGTGATATTTTGTGAAAATATGTAAGGTTCTTTTGGTTTATAGTATCTGTTAGGATGTTAGGACAAGGTATTTCTCTGTTTAGTTTGTGTCTATATGTCATGTATATTGGTGGCATATGGGGTATAGAAATTGCCCACTATATATATATATATATATATATATATATATATATATATATATATATATATCATGGGGAAAGCAGGCAGGCTTGAGGCTGGAGAATATAATGGGAGTTTTATATCTGGAACCAAAAGGAAGCATCCGAGAATTGGCCTGAGCTTCTCAGTCCTCAAAGCCCACCACCTAGTGAAGCACTTCCTCCAACCAAGTCTCACCCACCTCAATGACCACAGCTTTGTGTAATGCACATATAGGGACCATTTTGACTCCAAACACCCAATTCTGCTCCCTGGTCTATGCATGGTTATACTATTTACATCATGGAGAGAAGCCTCAAAAGACCTATGGTATATGCGCCAGTTTAAAAGTCTTAATGTCTCTGTGTATTCATGTCAATCCACTAACTGAAAGCCATATGGAATCAAAGCAAAACAACAAAACACATGGCACATGATATGATATAGTTTACCCTTCCCACCTGAACAAAGTCGATGTTGGATATTGGATAAAGTCATGACCCAAAACCAACTGGGCACACTCCAAACTCAGAACCTCTAAGTGTACTGTCAAAGTGCTCTTGAGATCCCCAACTCCTCTCTGCTTTGTTGACTGTACCACACATATTTTTCTTGGTGTCTTCTAATCCTAGTGGGCAAATTTTCTAGGCATAAGTCACATGACTCTAACATCTCCAATGCAATCTGGGCCTCACCTTGAGAGCTTCACACAATGGACTCTTCAGGACTCCATGCCAAGACACACCATACAACATGACTGGCATCCTCAAGTTTCTTAATGCAGAGGGATGGCCCATACCCTCTTTCTTCCATCCCTTAAGCTAAAGCCAGATGCCTGTGGTCTAAGATGTCAAGTCCTACTGCTTTCTGGGCCTAGACCATAACTTGTTGTTCAATTAAATCTTTACCAGGTTCCTGGTTTTGATGCTTCCCAACATTACCAAATCTGGGCTTTCCTGGAACTTGCTCAGTAGGTCATACTGTGCTCAGCTACAGACAGCCAAATGCCTCTGCCTCCCTTGTCCTGTGATTATTGGTGAGTGCACTCATACCAGGCTCTGAGATTTTCTTTAGCTTCTCTTCAAAAGTTGGAAGGTTTGTGGCATGAGATCTTGCCCTGGGGTCACCACTCCCTTAATGCTATTTAACATCAGTATTTTGTTCAGTCTGTTTATTTATTGTTTTCAACACACCTCCTTGTGCCCCTTTTCTCCTCCGGGTTTACCTTTTCCATTTGCCTTTCTAAGCATATTCCATAGCATTGTAAATCTGCATAAGATTCCACACTAATGTCCATATGACACCCACGTTCAGGAGGTCTTGATCAGTACATGCTGGATTCCCAGCCATCAGTCTGGGATTCAAGAGGTAACCCTGGTCAGGTGAGCTGTTTCTGGGGGTTAAACCACCCCGTCTTTACGCCTTTGCTCTTGAGTCCTCCCTCTCTGTCACTGGATATCTTGAGTTCAGCTCAGTCTTTAGTTTTGGGAGTCTACCTCTGCTTCCATCAGCCATTCGATGAAGGATCTGTTTCCCAGACTCTCTGGCCATGGTATTGTAGGCTGGCACTCCCCAGACCTATGTCTAAAATCCATATATGAGCGAGTATATGCCATGTTTCTCTTTTCATTACTGGGTTAAATCACTCAGGATGGTTTCTTCTAGTGCCATCCATTTGCCTGCAAATTTCAGGATTCCATTGGTTTTTTCTGCTAAACAGTACTGCATTGATTTAAAATACAAAGACTTTCTTAATTCATAAAATAGTGCTTCCTAGCAATACACATGCCTGTTGAATCCTGTTCATTACAAGGCTTTACAGACTCTTGTCACCATCTGCCGGGAATGTTTCTTTTCAGAGATGGCATCATCGTATCATCTCAGTTCCTGAAAAGTTTGGGATGATATCTTCAAGAAGACTGAAAATAAGTTAAAGAATCTCAAAGATGGTATCCAGAATGGGTGGAAAATGGCAATGCAAGAAGCCGTATGCCTTCTCAATTCCAAGTGCCAGAGGTGGGTGTAAGTGACAGGAGATGTTGACCTAGAAGATCTTCAAGACATCCTAAAATGTTAAGGCTGTTTAATCCTTGAGTTAGTTATTAGCCAACAGTGGATGATTGTCCTATTGATTGAGTTGCAGGATATCAGTAATTCAGAATTCCTCTGAGATGGAATTTGAATGTCCCTCTCTGAAAGCAGGCTGGCTTCATAAACCAAACTGGATCTCCCATAATTATTGAGGGAATGCTCAGAAACTATCCTATTCGAGATTTGGCTGGTTCTCCTACACTACTAAAATGTCAAATAATATATATACATATATACATATATATGTATATATATATATATTGGTCCCATGAAGGCACAATTGTTAGCTATACTATCAGCAACTTACCAATTTGATATGGAACTACATGCACAAATAGGAATTCTTATCTTGTAACGAGATTATCAACACAGAATATAGTCTAGAAATTCTACACATCCTAAGTGGTTTTGTCTGCAAGTGTTGTGCTTACTATCAAATGAGATTTAAAGTGAGAGAAGCAATTGACATGTGGATCCTGATACCTTTGAAACCACAGGAGTTTGTGTGCCAGGCTACCCATGCTCAAGTCTTACACTCAATTTATAGTGTACAAGTCTTGGAAGGTTGTTCAATTAATCTCCTTCAAGTTTCGTCTATAAATGAACATACTAATCATTTAACTCCTTGGGTTACAGTTATTCACTATATATTCTTCTCTTAATACCCAACCGGAATCATAGTCTTTCCCTCAACTTATTTCTTGTTCCCCATCTCTTTCTACTCCTTCCTATTGCTCCTCATTCCTCCCATTCTTCATTGGTCTTGACCTCCCTTCTTTCCTCTCCTATTCTCCACCCCCAGCTTCCCATTTTCCTTCTGATCCTTCATCCTTCACCCCCTCTTACTACTTCCCTTCAACCTAGCCTTCCCCATTATGTGTCACTTCTTTCTCAACTCCTCTCTCCCTTCTCCTTGACCTGTGTATATAGATTGGTCTCTGTTAGCTTTTTTGTATTGCATGGCATAGGATGTCGGCCAAGGAAGTTCATAGGTCTGTATTGATCAGTCTAGAAGCTCTGTTATGCTTAGCAGAGGCTGTAGGTTTGGGCTCTTAAGAATCAGGATTATTGCTAGCTTTTCTATTTTTCCTCAAGTTCCTGCTTATATTTCCCAATTTTGCTTCTTATTGAATTCCCTTAGTTGTCTGGTGTCTTGAAGCTCTTTTCCCTCTGTAACCTATTATTTTGGTGCTCATGTTGGAGTGCTTTTGTTGTGGAGTGGGACATCTTCACCATGGTGCCATGCTAAACATTTGTAACAAGGACTGATCTCCTTCTTTCTTTTCTTGTTACTCTTCAAAACTCTTTCCATATATCTTCATTTGAGAAACTCACGGAGTGTCAGATAAAACGTGTCACCGGGATTTCCAGATGTAATTGTTATCCCAGAAACTTTTGGCTCCAAGCAGGGATGACCTCTTTATTCACTTCTTTCTGTAATTCCAGTTCTTGTCATTGATTGCTCCCCAGGAGCTCCTGGTAGCATAACAAAGCTTGGCTCTTCTTCTCTGACTATCAGCCCTGAGTGTGCTGGTGTGTGCTGGGACGTCAGTGCTCTATGTCTCAGGAAAAGCCATTTGTTCATAATTTTCTCTCATATCTACTTGAAACATGGTAGTTAAAAGTACCAGCTTTTATTATGAATCTGAAACCAGAAATCCATGTCATGACTTTTTAATTTATTGCATAAAACAAAGCAACAAAGGGGAATCTTCATTGCCATTCTTTTGTTTATGTGGCTGCTTAGGAATGTCTGTTATTGTCATCTCTAATAGGACACTGCAGCCTTCATTTTGACAATTGGAATGATGGTCAGTGGCATCATCGATGTATTCAAGACTATGGCCAGCTCAGTGTCCCTTTGTATATACATACATCTTAAGAAATTTAAAAAAGTATTTATTTTATATGTTTTGCCTGTGTGTATTTGCATCATGTGTCTTCACTCCTCATAAGATATAGAAGAGTGTAACATATCCTTTGGAAGAGGAATTACAGATGTCTGTGTCATCTTGTAATTACTTGTAATAAAACACAGATCTTCCACAAGTGCAGCTAGTGTTCTTAACAGTTTTTGCCACTCAGGTCTTTGGCTGCTCTAGTCTTCCAGCCCGTGTTCAGTCTGCCCCTTTAACAAATGTCTTCTTGGATATTATTGGCTTTCAACTACTTGATGACATCATTCCCCCTTAGCCAATCAGCGTCAGATGGAGTTTTGAGGTTACCTTGGAAATAACTGACAAAACGTTCCTCAGTGTTGAGCATCTTTTATTCTGCACAGACGTGGATCACTTCATGTGAAACCTAACAACCCGTGTTCTCATCCCTTTATTCAGATCCTACACCTTTTGAAACCTACAACCCGTTCTCTCCTTCCTTTGTCCCTATCTCCTCCTTTTGTTCATTGTTCCTGACTTGAAGATGTCAGGTAGGAAAAGAAACTTTAATGTTTGTTTAGTTGGACAGCTCCCCAAATTGGGAAGCATCAAACAATGTGGGATGAAGGGGAAAGTGCTGAACATCTGTTTGGTGTCCTAACTGTAGTCTTGGATTGGACATTTCCTAGTGTTGTGAATTTGGACATTCTGTTTCTCCCCCTATTACTAAATGTACTTTTACTTGGTGAAAAAACAGGATGGCCAGGCACAGGGACTTCTGAAATATTATGTCTTTAGAAACATGCTATAGGGAAGGAAACCAGATAGTTCCTGAGACTGTTTCAGCTGAAGCAGAGAAAGAGCTGGGTATATAGTCTGGACAAGAAAGGGCCATAATACTTCCTTCTACCCTGTTTTCCACATTAGCATTTCCTTGTTAGTGCTGTGGAGCAGTGGTGTTGGGATGTCATGGGAACTGCCTGCCACATCTGCCACTCCTCCATAATTGCCTCCAGGGTAGCTTGGCTGACTTAGCTGAATAGACAGCTATGTCCATGTCTGGGAACAGGGAGCAACCTTCTGGGACCTGGAGGATGACATTTAGGCCTGGATATTCATGGGAGAGACGGGGATGTGTTTTATGTCTGAGGGACAGGAGGAATCTCTCTTCCCTACTGTGATCTTCCAAACCAACTAAGTCAAGGTAGTGTCAGTTTCACAACTGTTTGGTCAAGTGTGTTCCATGAGTACTTGGGACCAGAGGTACCTGGCTCACCACCATTTCATGACTGACACACTCTGTTACATAATCAATTGCCAGAGAACGTATCCCATAAAGGAAAGCCCTGTCCAAATTTAGAGGAAACTTTCTTCATGTTAAAATTATTTGTAATTTTTCCAGCATAATATTTTTGTTCATTATTTGGGGAATTTATTCAATGCATCTAATCAAACTAGTTTCCTAATCCTCCCAAGTCCACCATGCCACACCTCTGGCCATCCAAAAGAGAAGAAAAGAAATGAAAAGAAAAGAAAAAGACTGTAGCAAGTCTTAATTTTGTTGTCCATATACTCCCTGGAACATGGGCAAAGTCTCACCCCTTAAGGAAACTGGGTCCCTCCCTACACACAACAACCCCCTCCTGCCAGAGCAATCATAGGTTTAGAACAACAATTCAGCATCTGTATCACAATTTATGGACTCTCTTCACTGTCTCATGGTCTTCACTTTTCTTTTATTTATTTGGAGAATGGGAAAGTCTTCTGGGGTAAGTCTCTCATTCTCAATGATGAGTCAGCTGTCATAAGCACCATTGAATAGGGACTTTTATAGTTCATAACAGCCAGGGACAGCACACATCAGTGACTTCCACATGGTTTTAGGTGGGAGCCTGGACTATGTACACCGGCATGGCACTCAGATACAGGACAGAGTCTGGAATTCTTTTGAAGAGGCCCAATTCATAGAGAACAATTCTCCATCTCCATTAGTGTGAGCTTCTGTACCTCAAGTCTCACTTCTCTCTGGCTGTGCATGGAGCTCTGCTCTGCTCTTTGAAACCTCTCTTGTTTCAATGTATTGACACTATTTTTGAAAAGTGTCTTCCCCTGAGACTTGAAGTGTTTTAGTTGCTTCTGAAATGCTTTTTGCTCTTTCAGATTAATCTGCTGCTGTCTCCTCTCACCTCCGTACCTCTATGGGTCTCTCGGGCTCCTTGGAGCTGCTCCGTGGTTCTGTTGACACCAGTAGGCATTGCCACCTTGAGTTGATCTACATTGTACATTCTTGGAATTTTTTTATTCATTCCCAGTTTTTTCAATTGAAATTGTAGTCAGGTTCTGACTTCTATGTCATCTACTGAATTGCAGAATTAAAAGCCTAAATTGCATGCCATAGTGGTCACTACTTTAGTATTGCATAAATTAACATTGATTATTGGAGAAGCAAAGGATTTGTTTTCCTAACTAATTATATATCTGATGACAGGCAAGATTTTTGAACCTTGGCTCATACACCAACAGAGCTGTCCAGGACTTTTCACTGCTATGGACCCAAATGAGGTAAGTATCATGGCTGCTGAAAACAAAGTTTATTCCTTGCCACCATATGGGGACAATTTAAAGTCCTGGTGCCCTTTTCTACTTTAAGCGAGTGAATCTCACTTTTATCCTCCTTAGTGATCATGTCTCACTATTTATTTTCCTTAGCAGTGGAATCATAGCAAACAAGTCAATACTAAGATCAATTTGTGTTTAGAATTCATTGCATTTCTGCTCTCAAACACACTGTCTCTCTAGAAAACTTTCAAGACAGGCTTATACAATGCTGTGCTCAATGGAGGTTTATTTGCTCCTGTAGATTCTCAGACTAAGTTCCTAGAATCCTTATCTAGCAGGAACTGATATTTCGTTGATCATTGCTACTGAAATGCTATCCAAGACTTGAGTATCATAGGTACTATTAAATTATTGAGGGCACACATTCACAAGTCCTTTTGTTTGTAGGTGGGATTGCAATTTGGAAGGCATGAGTTTCCTCCGAGCTGGAGTGCTCCTATTTGCCATTGGTGATATCAGAAGAAGTCTATGTGGAAATTGCTGTGCTTATGTTTATGCGCAACCCTCTGATTTGTGCATAACCACTCATAGTAGATTCATCCAGAGTTAGTCTCAATAGACATGCTGTTTATAAGATTTGTTCCTTAACTTAAATGCTACCCATTGGATTGTATTCAAATCTTTGCAAACAAAGTGGGGGATCCTAGGTTGGGTATGATTTTTATACTAAATTTAATGAGCTGAATCACTACATGTGGTGTTTTATTTACTCTAATTTCTTTACTGAAAACTGTTTCTATCTCTCTCTTTCCCCCTCTCTCACACACACATAGGCACACACACACACACACAACACACACACACACACACACAAAAGCACACACGTACACAATATATGATTCTGTTATTTATAGCTAGACTTACTCCTTAGCAGGATAGCAGGAGAAAGGCTCTGATGTTCCCCATCTTCTCTTTTTGTCTTAGCAAATGGGCACCATCAGAACCTCCAGAAATGTTACTCTTCCACCCCATGAACGGTTCAAAATTTTAATTCATGCTGGGATGTCTATTGAGGTCAGCAAAAAAGTTCCATTGAAAACATATCTTGAAATGATGGATGACCTCATAAAGGTGGCAGCTGACCTACAAAGAAAAGACCTGAAAGAGGAAGCATTTGTGGAGTACCACAAATTTTTAACGTGAGTGTTTTCCGTTTCCATCTCCTTTCCTGTTACTGACCTGTCACTAATCCCGTCCTCCACTTCATGCTACTGACCTGTCCTAATCTCGTGGAACTTGACAAAGACATCTGTTAATCATATTTATGTCAACTCACACATGCTTTTCCTTACTATTCAAAAACATGAGGACCAAAGGTCGTGGTATCCCAAACAAGGGATTGCAAGTTTGTGACCACATGGCCCAGATTTTAGATGAAAGAGTTGTCACATAAACAGGATATGTCTGCATAGGTGATTGTGTTCACTGCTCTATCTCCACCAAGGCATCCAGCCACAGGCTTATTGCTGTGTGTTGCAGAACCCAGAATCCTCTTCCCTTAATCCTGTAGTCTATTGATTAGGATAAGAAACATGTTAGCCTTTCCTATTTCTACACAGTCACCAGAGGTTTGTGGACTAACTGGGGTCCAAGTGGCTCAGCACAGTACCTGTACTATTCATTGTACTTGAGCAGGCAGAATAAATACCAGCTGGCAGATCTGTTACCTGAATTGACACTTATATCCTCAGTGACAAGAAGGTTTTGTGATTGAGAAAGGAATGATGGTAAAGGTCTCACCACTCATGCTTAGCCCTGAGTTTGATGAAACACAACCTAAGCCCACATACGCAGGTGACTTTATGGTGCCCAAGCATTGGGGAATAATGTGTGGACATGATGTCATTGGTCTTTGGAAGACTGTGTATGCTGAGTAGGCACATCAGTGTCTTTTTCTACAGAGGAAAAGAAAGCTAAGATTTAGACATGATCTCAGATACAACAGTTTACACCCTCTGTGTGCAGTATCTTACTATGCTCTACTGCACAGCTCCCCACAGTTCTATGTACCCCCAGTATCTCCTTTCACTGTCTATTGCTCTCAGAGGTTAGGTTTGCCCTACTGGAGAACAGTGCACTATGCTGCTGTAGGAGCAAACAGTGATATAGTTATTGGGAGTGGAAGAATGGAAACACTGTCTGTATCCTTTATGAAGTTCAGGAGGATGGTCTGTTTCCTCACAGTTCTGTGAGTTCATTAACTCTATCTGCTTTCTCCTGAGTACTGGGGTGACAAACAAGCACCATGTATGCTTTCATGTTCTTATTGATGGCTGAATCTTCCTTAATGTACCAGCAGATTGAAGTGAGGACCATTCTCTCTTCAGACACTGGGAGGGAAAGGGATGTGGGACTTCAGGATGTGCCTTGTCTCACACCAGGAACTTCTGAAACTATGCATAGAGAGGCCTTATTTCTTCAGGGCCTTATTTAGACATTTGGAACTTTCTACACACCATAGTGACTCTGCTTTATTCCTTTAGACTCTTTGTGGAGAAACTCAGAGAAGGCCCGGAATACCTCAACTGCCTTTCCAAGGGAGCAAGATCTAAAATCAACAAGGTAGGTCTTCAGTATCTGTATTGTAGAGCCAAAAATCTCTACAGCAACAGGGAGATGCTCAGGTGGGGAGCTGATGCTGCCTCAGCATCACAGTACAGAGGAAAGGGATTGCAGGTAAGGGGATTCAAGTCATGCATGAGATAATAGTGCCTCTCCCCACTTGTTTTCTCGTCATCTTTTCTGACTTTAGGACTGTTCTCATTTCTTTTCTGGTTTTCTGTTGCAGACGATAAATAGAGTCTTTGTTATTGCTGAGACTCTGAAGAGAAAACTCCTGACACAATACAACAAGGAGTATGAAGGTTATCTGGCAGATAAGGTCAGTGTGTGAGCATGAAGACAGGATGTTTGTGTGACAACTAGTCAGCCTGTGACCTGGGACTGTGTTGTGCTGTTTTTGTGGAATCTGTGTTCAATAGACATGCTCCACACTCACTTGAACACATATGTGCCTATGGATACACATGTATCCATAGAAGTGAACATACATTACACACATACACACACACATACACACACACACACACACACAGTGCACTAGGGTACTCAGATATTGAGGCAGAATTGTTATTAAGACAGTTATATAGCAACTGCGTAATGTGGAGTTGGTTTTTTTTTCTTAGTACCAGGTTTATGAAGGAGAAGCGTGGACACTATAATGAGATGACAGAACTTATTTCATCTATACTTTGTTTTGTGTCTTTGCTGACAATTCACAAGTCAATTCCAGGTCCCTCTCCCATTCCCTCCCCTCCTCCCGTGCCCTCCCCCCAACCACCCCCCCCCGTTATCCCCTCGTTCCCCCAGGGAGGGTGAGGCCCTCCATGGGGGTGTCCATAGTCTGTCATTTCATATAGGGCAGGGCCTAGACCCTTCCCCAAGAGTTCAGGGTGAGAGTGCACCTCACATTGTTCTATGGGAGTCCAAAGTCGGTGTGTATACTTGGGATGGGTACTGATCTGCTGCCCAAGGCTCAATAGATTCCCTACTCTTTGTTTGTGTAAGGAATTTTCAGTTTACTGAGGCTTTCGTCTTACATGAGCAGTACAAAGACATTGCAGAGATCTTTTCAGATGCCACGAGTGACTTCCCACTGTCAACTCAGTATTTTGGGCTGAAGATATGACATAGAATTAGTCAGTCTTACACACTATTTGAAAGGAAACCCACATTTCACTCACATTAGCTTTTACACAATGTCCCTTTCCTTTTACAGATGAAAGTGTGAATTCAGCCTTCACTGTCACAAACTGTGTGCTTGAGTTTACCTCATCAGTGGAAACTGCAGAAGTGAGCACTTCAGAGAGTGGAGGATGAGCCTCTCCATGGGAAAACCACTTTGTAATGACACTGGTTCCCCTGCAAGGTGAGGATGAAAGGTCCTCTCTGGTGGTTCTTGGGACCACACCCAGAATTCTCCATGACACGTTGTCCTCATGTCATTGCCCATGCTGTGAACATACTTCTCAGAACACTGAGAGTGATATTTTAAACCACTCTAATGTGTGCTGGGGCAGCATGATTCTCCTCCCTGATTCTCAGGTTGTTCTGGATTTGTAGTGCACAAAGAGGACATTGTAGGCTTCCCAGATTTCATGAGTATGTGGTCAGTACTTTAAATAACATTCAATGGCCATTATGAAAACTAAAACTAAATATGTGTGCTTACGTTTAAGTGTATGTGATGTGTTTGTCATTGTAGGAGCATATATCTGCCTATATAAACGTGTGTTCATGTGTCTGTTATGTGTATATTAATGTGTTCTTGGATGTGCTTTTGTGTGTCTGTATGAGTGTATGTGATCATGTGTATGAATGCAAATGTACACATCTGCCTGCCCGTGTATACATGTTTGTGTGTCCATGTTTGTGGATATGTGCACATAACCATATGTGCATCACTTTGTGTGTTTGTGAGAATGTGCTTGCTGTGTTTATATGTGTAGACTTATATATCATTCAATATATACGTATATGTGTGTGTTTGCACATGTATGTGTGTTCCTCTTGACTGAAATACCACTAAAACTACAATTAGTTTCTGATTTTTCCAAAATAATCTTGCACTCACAGTCTTGTCTTAGGTGATTCACTTTTTATTTCCTGGAGGATTTTTATTGTGTTGGGTGTTCTTTCTTCATAGCCAAGAATATTTGAGTTTCATGCTTTTTTCCTTTATCTATATATTACAGTACTTTTTCTCTTTTTGTTATCCTGGTTTCTATTTCAGCTCTCGTCAGGGAGGATGATCTTTCCTTGCTCACACTGAAGCATGCCATTGATCACAGGTGTTTATAAATCAAATTCTCCTTTCAAGGAAGCTATGAGTTTTACTTGGAGTGCGTGTTGTGTTCCATAAATTACCTTCTGGATCAGTTCATAAGATCTTCAGTCCTTTTTCTGCTTCCTTGAGGCCGTGGTGTAGACTTTGCCCCTCTCATGGCCTTGTGTTGCAGGAGGAACTGCTTATGTTTTCTCTTTCCTCTTCCATAACCCAGAGCATCCTCCAGATCCTCACTGTGACAACCATCCATGAGTGTTGAGCTTGATGGGATGAGATCAGCAATACAGCAGCAATTTCAGAACAGCCTCCTGTGATTTTCTGATCCAGGTTGCTTCTCCTCCAGGTAAGCAGATTGGTGTGATTGGTGTTGTATGTCTATGTCTCTGTATCCAGAAGTAATTCACTATATGATCTCAAGTTTTCTCCTGTCTTAGAGAAAACCCTTCGCAGGATGTTCTGAATACTAATGTAAAACTGATTTAAGCTTCACACAACTTGTAAATGAAGCAAATACTCTGCTCTAAGGTCCTATACACTATTTTGCCGTAGTGGGACTACAAGTGCCTTCATATCATGGGTTCTTTAGGAGAACATATTGTTGCCAGAAATAAAATAGGAAATACACCTTTCACATGGAAACATGAAAATGATTGGATGTATAAACATACTTATGGCTGATATTGAAAACATAAAATTCATTAAATACCTTATTGTAAATATATAAATTCAAAACAAACTTATGAAAACCAGATCCTTCTACAGCACAAACCCCATACCAAGTAAACTCAAAACAAAATGCATTTCATTTCGTTCCTTCTTTTTATTTTTAAATTTAAATAAAAAACAATCTTACTTTACATACCAGTCCCAGTTCCTTCTCCCTCCTAACTTCCCATTCCCACACCACCTCCCCATCCACTCCTTGGAAAGGAGGAGGACTGTCATGGGTTATCCTCAAAGTCTGTCACATCATTTGGTGCAGGACCTAGGCCATCCCCCATGTATCTAAACTGAGAGTGCATCCCACCACAGGGAATGGTCTCTAAAAAGCCTGATCATGCACTAGGGATGAATACGGTTTCCAATGCCAGAGGCCCCATAGACTGCCTAAGTCTCCAAATGACACCCATGTTCAGAGGATCTAGTTCAGTCTTTTGCAGTTTCGCCAGTTATTAGCCTGGGGTCTGTGAGCTCTCACTTTCTCAGAGCTTCTATTTCAGTAGACTTCCCCAGCATGGTCTTGACCCCTTTCTAATCATGCCCTCCCTCTCTACAACTGGATTTCAGGAGTTCAGTTCAGTGCTTAGCTGTGATCTCTGCTCTTGCTTCTATCAGTTGCTGGATGAAGGCTATATGATGGCATTTAAGGTAGTCATCAGTGTCATTATAGGGAAAGGACATTTAAAGTACTCTATCCACTATTGCTTAGATTCTTAGTTGGGGTCATCGTTGTGGAATTCTAGGAGTTTCCCTAATGCCAGTTTTCTCATTATCAGGAATGTCATGTTGGGAGAAGAACAGATGCCTTTCACTTTCATTTTTATCAACCAACAGATGCTTTATAGTAAAATGTGTGTAGAAGGGGACTACTGATGTAAATGGAAAAAAGCAATGAATTGAAACTTCAGTTCCACAGAATCAATGCAGCCTGATAAGGAACACGAGAGGGAGCTCTGTCAGGTGGATCTCAGGGTCCCCAGTGGTTCGTGCATCGCAGTGACTTGTGGGAAGGACCGTGTAAGGCCCCTGTCAGAGTCAGGTTCAAGGTTTCCAGCACTTAGGTCTTTATCAGGCCCTATGTGTGAAGGTGGTGCACTGAGCAAAGGTTTTGTTGTCACTGGTAGAATTCTTAGTCTCAGGTTTTCACTCTGCACTGGACTCAATTCCTGTGTAGTCCCTTCTCTCCATGCCTGGACTAAGATGCATAGCTTTGTCCTCCGCAATTGGGAAGGACTATGCTGAATCTAATCCCACAGAGCCTGTGGAATCTGGTGTCCTTTGTTACTGCTACAGTGCCAATTCCTATCTTTAGCATCCTCCACTCTCATTGGCTTGACCCAGTTGACATTCTCAAGCTGTGGCTGCCCTGGGCCCAGGTAAAGAGGAAGTGTTGGGAGTCAGTCCTCAAGAAGGTAGCTTTCCTGCTTATCCAGTGTTGTCTCATGGATTGATAGTTACAGCAGACCAGTTAATTAACTTTATCATAAAATATCATTGCACATTATCTCACTCAGTGAATATAAAATGCCTACTTTTTCATCTGTTTCATTTATTCTTTGTGTACATACCAGTGGACACTAATGTATGTATGTGTGTTTTTGGGGAGCTCAGAGGACAAGCATCAGGAGATTGTTCTCTGCTTTTTCCAACAATGAAGCAATAAATGTTCACAATATACTTCATTTATGTCATAAAGCATTTTAAAATCTCTCCCCATGTAACAACTGTCTCTGTCTTTGTCTCTTTCTCCCTGTATATCTGTGTGTGTGCCTGTCATCTGTCTGTCTGCCTCTGTCCTCTTCTTTCATGTCTGTTTAGTTTAACATTTCTTATATGTGTCCTTCCTTCTCTAAACTCTGTCCAGGAGAATGCCAGAAAAGGGCAGCGGGGTCTCACAGTAACCATGTGTTAAAGTCTACAGTTTCTCCCAGTGTGTGATTCATGGCCAGCAGCCAAGTCAGCTGTCATTTATCAGAGGAACTCTGAAAGTCTTTTGAGTTTTGAGCTTCTGAGTTACCTGGGAAGTGCAGTTTTGGGAGACAATGGAGAACAAGATGGCAGTTTCGATCAGCCAAATCTCCTAATTCTCTGTGCTCAGTTTTCCTTGCCTATGAAGGACAGGCATTCACATATCTGCTGTTTGTGCTGAGCAACTTGTTGATGGTCATCATCTTTCTCCAGTCAATAGTGAAATCAGTCAGCAGAGCTCAGCCTCACAGAATTCTGCTTTATTACAGGTTCTGATACTCACCATATAGGCTTGAATATGTCCACCAATCTTCAGTAAGTCCATTCAACTTCCATCTTATAAAATCGAATGAAGACATATTTGTGTTCATAACTATGAAATGGGCTTCATAAAAAAACTTTAGGTATTCCCTGTCACATATGTCAGTCTTTCAGTGTTTTAGGTGAAAAATCACATCCACCAGTTGACCTTGCAAATCTATCAAGGGTTTGACATCCCTCTATAAGAGAAGGAGGAGTTTAATACATCAACAGATGACAGAAGAAAGCTGCTTTGGAAGCTGGGTGAAACTTGGGTTGAAAGTGCACATGTTCACTGCTTAATTGGCTAAAAGTATGACATTCTAGTAACTTCTTAACACTGTCAACCATTCATAGCCCTAAAATCAGGAATAAAGAGTGATGGCCACAGAATGTCTGGAACATGTGCAGTTTTTACACTCACATCCTAAGAGGACCATGCAGACAACTTCTGAATGAAGTCAAAGGTTTTTATGTCTGTAGATGTTGACCCTCTTTGGGGTCAGTGTGTCCCCAGAGGTCATCATATATGCTCACAAGAGTGGGGGAAACCGTAGATTACACATAAAGAATAGTCAGCAGGAGTCATGGGCTATTCACCAAACATCTCCATTAAAGATTTTCTTAATTTTAAAAATAAATCACTCAACTTCTGCATTCCCCAATTATACAATAGTAAAACATTTGGGCTATATTACCTATAATTTCTTCTATGTGTAAATATATAAATACTTGAGTTTATGGTTTTAGATTATCTACTATAATTGATCTATCATAATTTCTCTATCGTTCTCAGTTTTGCCTGTATTATGATGTATTAGTGCATTATAGTAGTATATACATTAGTCCTTACTTATTGTAGTATGTTTTTAATAGACTTAATTGAATATATAGTATAAAAATAAAAAATCAGATACTACATGTCACTTTTACTCACAAATGTTAACAATTTCTAACATTTTGGGAAGTGCCAAACCAACCAAAGCTTATGTGTAATTTCCATGACTAAAATTGTAATATATTCAGAATGTATTAACAAGACACAGTTTCTCAACTTTATATAAATTTAAATACAGTTGTATACATAGTATTTATATGCAAGTGACTTGTAATTTTCCTTGATTTTTACATGCTATGTTGAATATCTCCTTCTTACAATTAATCATAATAGCCTAATTACAAACTTCCTCACTTTCTAGATGAAAGCTATACTTATAAAATACTTTATTAACTATTCTAAACATGGATTTTTAAAACTTTAACACTCTAAAAAGTTAATGAAATGCTCAAAATTCATATAGTACTAAGTTTCTTTTATAATTGCACTCTTAACTGTTTAAAAGAAACTGTCTAAACCTTTCTGCAGCTTGAAATCTGATAACAACGTAAGATGACCACCAGTTTTATATCAGATCTTTTCTTCTGATAAAAGAAAAATTGATGCACTGTTACTTATGAGGGCTGTGTCCTTGTAGTAAAATGTTACAGACTATCATTGTGGATATATGAGACTCTTCACATCATGGGCATTTTTGTTAGAATCATAGCTTTCACATTCCCTCATCACAACTTATTTGAAAAGCACCGTAGCTAGCCAAAAGTTGCTTTTATGCAGTAAAACAGCAAGAAAAATATTATAAATTCTTTAAATCCAAAACAAAAAAATATTCTGCAAATGGATGACTTCTTAAAACATGCATATATTCTTCTCCTGGCTGTATAAGAACATAAAACTCATTAACTATGATTATTAATAATTATTAATTTTTATGTCTGTAACTGGAAAGGATACTTGTCACTGACAAGTTTTATAAATAAGAACTTAACCTTATAAAACAGTGAACACATTGCACAGCCTGTATTCCCAAACTTGAAATTTTAGAGTTAAATATTGACAATTATAGATGTGACTCTTTTGATTCTCTTATTTTTGAGACTATATTTACATAGTTTGTCACCCTTACTTCTATTTTATTAAAATTAAAACAAGTTTGCTTCACCTGTCAATCCCAACCCCCTCTCCACCCCCCCTGCCCCACCCCCACAACTCCTCCAAACTCCCATTTATCCCCCCTCTGCCTGTATCCTAAAACTTGCATAGCCTGTATCCTAAACGTTGAAAGTTTAGAGCTAAATATTGACAATTATAGATGTGACACTTTCAATTAACCTTAAACACAGACCAAGCAGAATTTAGATACTGCAGCTTTCAAAATGTATAATGGCAAGTAATAACAGGAGTACTATTCAGCAGAAAAAAAGAATGGAATCTTGAAATTTGCAGGTAAATGGATGGCACTAGAAGAAACCATCCTGAGTGAGGTAACACAGTCACAAAAAGAGAAACATGGTATGTACTCACTCATTTATGCATTTTAGACATGAATCGGGGGGGTGCCAGGATACAATCCCACTGGCAGAATGCCTAGGAAACAGAACCTTCATCTAGCGACTGATGAAAGCAGAGGAAGATACCCACAGACAAATACTGAACTGAACTCTTGGAATCCAATGTCAGAGAGAGAGAACTGATGAGCAAAGGAGTTAAGACTGGGTTGGTTTAACCCACAGAAACAGTTGAGGTGAACAAGAGGGAGCTCTTCAATCCCAGATTGATGGCTGTGTGGAAAGCATAGGACTGACCCAGACCCCCTGAATATGGGTGTCAGTGAGGAATCTTAGGTAATCTATGGGGCCTTGGGTAGTATTTATCCCTGGCATACAAATAGAATTTCAGTGCCCATGCCACAATGAGGGAGGCTCGCTCAGCCGGGACTCTTGGGAGGAGGGCGTAGGCCCTGTCTTGGATGAAATGACAGTCACTGGAGATCCAACATGGAGGGCCTCACCCTCCCTGGGGATTGGAGTGGAGATTGGGTGAGGGACTGGGCAACCGGGTGGGGAGGGCGGGAGAGGAGGGGAGAAAACAAGATGGACATGTGAAACAAGATTGTTTCTTTTTTTTTTAAAGATTTATTTATTTATTACATATACACCAGATTGAACTGTAGATGGTTGTCAGCCACCACATGGTTGCTGGGAATTGAACCCAAGACGTCTGGAACAGCAGTCAGTGCTCTTAACCTCTGAGCCATCTCTCCAGATTGTTTCTAACCTAAATAAAAAAAATAATAATAAAATCTGAAAAACTTAACCCTGCAATTTTTATGGGAACACAAAGCTTCTCGTAACAAGCTCTGGCTTTCTGGAACACCCCTGATCTTTGTATGTCTGTAGAGCTCACAATCATCTTTGCTATCTCTCTCTGGCTCTAGGGTCACCCCTGTTCTTATTTCTCTCTGGCTCTAATATCATCCCTGCTCTTATTTCTCTCTAGGACGAGGATCACCACAACTCTAACCTCTCTCTGGTTCTAGGATCACCCCTTTCTTATCTCTCTCTGGTTCTAGGATCACCCCTTTCTTATCTCTCTTCTGGGTCGAGGATCAATCCTGCCCTTATTTGTTTCTCTAGTTCTAGGGTCATCCCTGCACTAGTGAACCTCTGGATCTTAAGATCCAACAGACCTCAAGTCTTTCTGACTCTCAAGGTCAATTTAGCTCTCATCACTTCATCAGGCTTACAAAAAATCTGAATTAGCTTCAAAGGGCTGTTGTAATCCTAGAGTAAAGCTGGAGGTCCCACTTTGAATGACACTTCATTTTTGTCTGAGTGGTGACTCTTCTCAAGAAGATGTAGAAACAAAAGTTTGCATGGTCCCCTCGGGATGGAGATTCAGAATTTACATTAATATGTCTGAAGTACAGAGTAGTTATATACTCACTCCCAAACTTAGAACCATAAGACCATTCAATAATTCTTCCTTGTTGTTTTCAGATAGGGTCTTGCTCTACAGCACAGCCTGCCCTGCAACTCAGTGTGTAGCTGACCCTTCCCTGTTGCCAATTCACCTGCTTAGTTTTCTTAAATAATAGACTCATGGCCATGGACAACCACACCCATTCCCTTTTAAGGAAGTATTAAAAGGTAAAATTCACCCAGTATCTGTTGATAAAATCAACCCCACATTGTCTCTTTAATTCTTACCATAACACCCCTGCATTTTGCCTCTCTAATTCATGCACACTTTGGATAAATGTCCCAACTTAGTTAGTGCCACTTGTTTGACTCTACCTTCCCCAGCAGCCATCAGTTGTCAGAAGCTGCTCAGCTAGGTAAGAAACTTCATGAATCCTGTGCCAAAGCATGCTGAGATATTGGGTGGCTTGATTTTCTGCAGGTTTGTGCATATAGACTCACCCAGTGTTAGTTCATGCCTACAATTGTGCTATCATGTCTGTCAAACCATTTTACTGGAGATGCATGAGTAGATTCAAGTACAGAAACCACATGTGCTTCTTATCACTTATTTAGGTTTTGGAGAAAATGTAGAATCTCCTGATGAAAAAAATTCAAGGCAGACAGACACTTAACATAACTAAGGCAATATGAAACAAGTCTATGGCCACCACCCACCATACAGAGAAAAGCTTGAAGCATTTCCATTACAATCAGAACCAAGCCAAGGCTGACATCTTTCACCACTCCAGTTCAATGGATAATTAAAGTCCAGAAGGATCAATGGATCCAAATAGGAATGGATCCAAGAAGGAAGATGTCAAAGCATCTGAGAATGCCACAACTCTACAGAAAAGACCTTAGAGACCATCAGGAAAGCACTACCACTGTAAATGTTAGGTCTCCATCCTGAGACAAAGTGCTGCCATGCCTATTAACAGATCAGAAAGACACTGGCAGCCAGGTTCTCCCAGCACTCCTCAGTCTATACCTGCTACAGTCACCCTGTCTTACTCCTCCAGTGCCTCTGAACTCTCTGTCTTGGTCTTCCTTGAAGTTCTTCCTATACAACCCCCATTTTTGGACAGTGGACCTTTTTACCTTTAGGCCTCTTGCCCTCTTGGCTGCAACTCCTGCCTTCTATCTCTCCCGCCTCCCTCTCCTTCCCCCCTTTCTTCACATGGCCAGGTTGAATTCACCAGGGAACGGAATACTTTATATACCCCATTCTGCTCTTTCTCTCATCTCCCCATGAGAGTTGCAGTCACACTTGAGATTCCCTGAGGTTGCCTGCATCCATTGGCTTGCTTCCTCCTCTCAAGGAGCCTTTGCAGTCCTGCAGCGTCTCTGAGCACTTCTGGCCTACTACAGTATCTCCTACCTTCTGCGTGATGTTCTGCAGCTGCTGCTCTAGGCTATATCCTGAAGTTTCCTCCCCTAGGCCCCTTGACACTATCATCTCTTTCTCTTCCTTAAGTCCTTCTAGACCTTTTCTCCCTCAATCAGAGCTCCTATACATTGTGACACTGTTCTCTGTCTCTCAGCACCCTCTTAAAATGCGCTCAGCTTCTCCAAGTCTTTATAGGCACCTATGCTCTTTCTCAACTCCTTTAACCCAGAGATGATAAATTCCTAAGGCTTTAAATATATATTTAGGTTAACAAAGACTGACATAGAGATTTACCTCTAACTACCATATCTTTACTATTTTCAACACCAGGCTTCTAAATTTAAATAAGAGACAATAATATTTGACAAATAAGGTTTATGTATTCTTGGGTTCTTCTCAGGTTAACAGTAACTGACTTAATGATAATTGCCTAGCCTCTTTGTCTCTGCTCAACTTTAGCTATTAGGATAAACTGAGACATACAAGAAACTGTGACATTATGTGATGGTGAAGTATAAAAAGATCAGAAGTGTTTCCTTTCTGTCTATGGATTGTATTTATGGTTTACTGTTTTATTTTGATAACAGAGGGACTTTAAGTCTTCAACTCAAATTTTTAAGGCTCAAGTAATTAAGGATAAAGCTTAAAAACCCTAGCCTTATAAAAGCTATTAACTTTTAAAATATTATGAAATTTATTCTAATGGCAAACCTTATTCAACTTCCTGTATGTGTCTTCAAGTATAAAGCTAAAGTTGTTAGCTGAAAAAGAATGTTGCATCCTGATTTTGGGAATTGCACCTTCTCGGGGAACAAAATGATATTTCCTTTAATACAAAAGTTGTCAGTGTGAAAATTACAGTTTTGAAATAAGAAAAATTAGACTTACCGCCAAGCATATATCCACTCAAGTCTCCTTCTTCTTTCACCTCTCCATATTTCTCTTTTCTCCCTTATTTCCCTGTGTCTTCCTTCTCTCCTTTCTCTTTCTTTCTCTCTCCCTTCTCCCCTCCTCCCCTTCTGGCTCTTCTCTTTTCTGCACATCTTGTCTTCCTGTAGAGAACATATGGAACTTTTCCTCCTATTCGTGGTCATCACTGTCTCTGTTGTCCTCCTCTTGGATCTTTTCTTCCTATTCATAGTCCTCATTATCCTCCATCCTTTCTTGCTCCTCCTCCTCTTCCTCTCATCCTCCTCCATCCACTCCTTCTTCTTGCCCCTTTATATGTACCTCCCTCTTGTCTCTCTTGATCCAATTATTAAACACTGACCTAATGATGCAAAGGAACAGTAGAATTGAGAAGGGAGATGAATCTATCACAAGTTAGGTCTTTTCAGGCCAAACATTTTGAGTAACTAGGGGGCTGTTGTGCTAAAACCAAAAACCACTAGTACCTGTGGGACAACATCCAAGATAGAAAAATTATTATAAATGAATGCAGGGTGATTTCATTGCTTTCCCAACATTAGATTTGCTGAAGAATTCAGACTAAAATGGGATGGCAAATCATAATAGATGACACTCACATGCAGTGTATGGTGTGGAATTTCTTCAAACTCTGGCGCTTGAGGTTGCTTCTTGGCAGTTAGTCTTAGAATCTCAACAGTGGAGTCAGTATATCTTTTAAGAGCAGATGGTGTTAATTAGAATAAGCACCTAAAAGGAAGGATTTCATAGCATTCAGTTAAGACCCTTTGGATATTACTTAGTTTTGAAAGTCTTCTGAGCCTTAGAGGCTTGAATCCTACTCAGTATTTATATTTGGGTGAGAACACCACTAGAATTGATTCTGGTAGAATCTGCTGTTAGGAAAAAATGTGGGAGTTAGTTCACACTCAATAAGAAGCTTCCTGGGATAGAGGGAATTGAGAAGACAAAGAACCCATGAGGTCACAGTGACCCTCAGTCCTGATCAGCATAGGAAGACAGGCCCAAGGGGTCAAAAACTGGCTCCCATCCTGATTTACCAAATCATGCCAGGACAAATATCTGGTCTGCTAGGTAGACAAGGCAGAAGGAAGGATCACTTTTGTCCTTCTGATCCATAAAGGTCAGAAGAAACTGAACTTCTATCAATTACTTCTTAGCTGGTTCCTCACCAAGGACAAGATTATTTAAACATCCATGCCTCCTTATACTTGATGTCTAAAAAGTAAATTTTGTCCTTCAACTTCTAACCTACTTCTGACTCCCTCCTTCCAACAGGAGACTCTGATTCCATCATCACCAAGAATTCCCAGAACTACTTCAAACATCAGTTCAGCACTCTCTCTGGGTTGTCAGCTCCCTACCTTCAATGCTGCCACTGAGCCCTGTGTGATTCCTTGCTATGTGAAGAAAAGCCCATTCTGGTCTTCTGATGTGGTACCATACCTACTGCTGTCGTATTATGTTATGCCTCTTTCCTTGTCTTCCATCGCCTTCATCACTTTCTCACCAGATGCAAACACAACTGAGAAAATTAAATGCCAGAATTGGGATGAACATTGCAGATGTTAAGGCAAGCAAGCCAGATGCAAAAGACAATTATCTAACCACTACAGTTCATGTCACAAGCAGTACTGAAATACTGATAGCATGGCAGGAGGCACAATGAGGAGATGAATCCTAAAGAAATCTAGGAAGAAATGGTTAGAACAAGAGGGGGAATGAATCTCAAAAGAAGGAAATTGCAAAACTGGACTAGGCTCTTGGAAAGTTCCCATTTCCTTCTCTAAGTGGAGTATGCACATAGATGCTTCCTGAATGGAGTCATTAAATACACTGTTCATGTATATAAACTTATAAGTAAGCTTTATTTTAAAATATAAAGCATTTGTAAAAGGAAAGGAAGTAAAAAATGGTAAAATGAAGAAAACAAAACCAACTGAGATCTAAATCCACTTCCTGATGGAGCCTCTTCCTGGGTTACATCCCGAATTCCTCCTCATGCTGACCCTGATACATGGCATCTGTGAACCCCATAGGCATTTATCCTGCAGCCTGTGTCTCTGGCAACACACATCAGGTTCCTGCTCACTTTATGCCTCCTCCTCAGCTGCCAGGGAATCATTTCCAAAGTCAGTCTTCCTTTAGATGCCCTGTTCATGGTGGGATCACTGCCATCTGCATGACCACAAATCCAAACCTGCCTTGTCACAGACTTGACAACCTCTATTCCTATGCCTGTAGATCTCTGAAATCTCTTGAAGGTTTCTGAACATGTGGCCAATGTCATGTCCTCATCATTGGAAATTAGGACTTCCCAAACGTCCCCACTAGAACCAGCCTTGCCTGGTCACATCATTGTTCTGCCGAAAAACCTGAAGAGCTTTTCTTTACTAAAAAGCACCACTGTTCTAACTGCCCTTACCCAACAATGGAGAGCATGACTCTGATGGTCAAGTCAACATAAACTTTTGTAACAGCAACCACATATCCAAGCCAACATGATTACTCACTGATGCATGACAACTCTGCCATGGAACTCTCGTTTGGTACCTCTTTACATGTCATCATAAGTCACCTCAAGTGGGACCCCTTACCTCTGAAATGCACAGAGGCCTGTATCTACCTCCTGAAGAATAGAATTTATTCTGCCTCATGTGAATTGGTGATAATTTTCTGTGTCATCTCCCGTTTGTGTCCAGACAAGAACTTGTCAGATTCCATTCACCATGGTATATTATTGTTAGACAAAGCAATAGGAATTTATGCATCAGCACTTCCTGAACTGTGAATGCAAAAGTACTTTTCAATTCTCAAAACCTAGAAATAACTACCTGAGTTTGTTTAATACCAGTTCCACTCCTAGAAAATCTGCTTGTTCTGTGACTTTGTAGCTTCAAAATGAGAAAATCATTCACGAGATCTCTCTACAGAAGGAATTGTTTTTCCTTGAAGATACCACAAGTCTGTACAGCATGTGTAACACTGGAAAATTTTTTGTGTGTGCATAATGCAAGTGCTTCTGCATAAATATAAAATGCAGTCATTAGAATAAACTTTCTTGACTTAGTTAAAAGACTTCCTTTCATACAGATTTAGGTTTCATGGTCTGGACACCATGTTCTCATACATCCTAGGGAAGCTACAATCCTCCATCCACTCCCAGGAAATTGTGCAGAGAAATACCTAGGCAGTGCACATCGAACAGGAGCCCACAACCAGGGAGGTTGAGAAGGCCCAGTTCATCCTGGATACATAAAATTTCCTCCTTTTTCTTGGCATAGCATTATTCGGTCCTTCCATTTTGTGCGGGAATGATTTTATGGATAATGTGGTATTATTCCATTACCTACAAGAGAAAATAGCTTGTTACAACTCCCTGTCACTGTCAAACTCACTCTCTTGTAACATAAGTGAAGCCCTCACCCCAGTGGATGACTCTCATCCTTATCTCTGATCTCAGTGTTTCCCCACCTTGACTGCTCCAGTATTTCTCTGGAGTACCATATAAAAGCAAGGATGATTAGAGGAACATAAGTTGTTCCTCCTAGCACATCCTTTGTCCATGGTCTTCATTGGAGGCAGTCAGTAGGTCTGCTTGACTGTCTTGTAGTGCTTAATTTGTATTCAAAGGTATACTACAGAAAATTTTCTCAGACAAAGCCACAAAAGGAATTGAGTGCTTCTCCTTTTAGAATTACATAGTGTGCCTGTCTCCATGCCTTGTTCCTGCCTTTCTGCATGCCAACCCTCCTGATTTACTTCAGTATCACACTCTGTATGTGAGCTTGGTTTGAACCTGTAGGAAGGCTTCAGAATCAGTTTGCCAATGCCTGTGCTTATAGGCATTAGCCATGACTAGAATGAATATTTCAACCTGTGGCTTTTAGGCAAATGCTTCAAATCAAGGGACTCTGCAAAGCAACAAAATACAACTTCATGAAATCCAAGGTGGCCAGGCCTTGTCACCCAAGGTTCCTTCTGTGTCAGGAAATGTATGGACATAGCTTCTGGATATGTTTTCTGGGAGTCATGTGCACCCAAAAGGGAAGAAACAGCCTCAGATCTAGAAGGAGTTTCCGTGTTGTTACCAGGGCACCAAATAGTACACCACATGTCTCTGTGCCTTTTTAGGTGTTCTTCCATGCTGAACGGAGGGACTGATCACAAAGATCCTTTGTAAAGTCCACAGGGCAGAGCCCTTTGGAGTTCTGGCCTGCCATGGAAAGGAGAGAAGTCTGAGGTTACAGGGGCTCATATCCCTGAGCAGATCACAGCTTGGTGTCCTAGAGGAAAATCACAAAGACACTGGGAATCTCTCCAGGAGCCCTGTCCCTATAATAAAACCACAAAGCAGGCAGGGAATTTCTTCCTCAAGAAAGAAAGAGACAACACTAACCCCACGAGGACCTGTTGCCACAGAAACGTGTATCCATGGAAGCCAAAGACTGAGGACATGGAAAAGGGGATGAAGCTTCCTCTGTGCTGCTCTGTGCTCTCAACTTCAGACTCCTGTCCACCAGCACTGCCTTATTTTCCTGGTGAACTGCAGTCTCAAATGTGTGTGGCTGACCAGATGCAATAGCACCCACTTCCACAAACGTCTTCACAGGCATGCACCTGTGGTGACTTACCTGGGATTTCCTCCACCTTAGTCTCCCCACAATGTGTGTCTGATGATGTGGTGATCTCTCCAAAGACTTCCTGTGGGTCACGGACCACTGATGGTTTAATAGGAAGGATTCCTTCTGAAGAATCTTCAGCCTTTTCAGATGTCAGTGCCAGGCTGGGCCCACCTTTCCACTCCGATGCTTATCACCTCCATTCACCAGTCTGTCCACAAGAGAACTCTATTTGCCAAAGTCTGGGAGGTTTCTGATGGTGTTTCTTATATCTGCCCAGAATGCATTGTTTTCTGCCTCCTCCTCTTCTCCTTCCTTCTACAGAAAGAGAAACCTGTCAGGCTAATACTTCAGTTATCAGAGGAAAATGCCTTGTCAGTAAAGAGGTGGATAAAGTGTAGTGTGTTCAGGTCTGACATCTCAGCATAGGGTCCATGCTCAGCTTCATAACCCTTATACTTTGTGAAACAGACACTAGAACATTACTATATTACTATTTACCTCTCTTCAGTAAGAAATAATTCTCAATACCAATCCCCTCTCGTGTGTGTGTGTGTGTGTGTGTGTGTGTGTGTGTGTGTGTGTGTTGGCTTGTATGGATATAGGTGCATTGTGTTCAAGTGAGTGTGGAGCATATCCATTGATCACAGATTCCACTGAAAGCACACAACACACTTCCCACATCACAGGATGACTAGATAACACACAAACATCCTATCTTCATGCTTACACACTGACCTGATATGCCAGGTATCCTGCATACTCCTTGCTGTATTGTTTCAGAAGTTTGCTCTTCAGGGTCTTAGCTCTTTGAAAGACCATATTTATTGTCTGCAAGACAAAAATGAAATGGAGAATTAGAACAGTCCTAATGCCATAAAACAGGAAAAGAATACCAGTGGGGATAGGCACTCGAATCTTATGCATGACTTGAACCCTATTCCCTGCCATCTCTTCGCTCTATATTATGATGCTGAGGCAGCATCAGCTCCCCTCCCTCCCAGGGTCAGGATCTGTGACATTTGTATGTGTAACTCCCTATTGCTCCTGAAAACTTAGGTCAGATGGATAGACAATGAAGACACAGGTGGAGGAGTTTGGATCTTTTTCCAGGGGCAAGTGTTCTCACATTAAAAAATTGTAGTACACGACAAATGTTTCTTCTGTGAGGCCTTGTTTATGGATGTCTGCTGCCACCTTAAACAGGCAATTAATCATTCGGAAGTAAGTTTTTCCATGGAATTTTATTGCTGACCTCATTTTTTAGCCTCAGAGAAATTAACATTGGGATCCGCTCTTGGGGAGGAGGAGTTACATCTTTATATTTTTGGATGGTGCTCCAGTTCTGAGACAGAAAAGAAAGGATGGGGAAAATGAGAAACATTCTCCTGCGATCCTGCCATTCTATCGTTCTACTGTCTAAAATACACACATACAGCAAATGAACTTTCTTTTCAGCAGCCATGAGACCTCATTTGGGTCCATAGCAGTGAAAGTTCCTATAAGACCTGGACAGCTATATTGGTCTGTAAGCCAGAGTTTCAAAATATTGCCTGTCAGCAGATATGCAAGTAGTTAGGAATGCAGACACTTTGCTTCTCTCATGTTAATCAATGTTAATTTGTGAATTGCTAAACAATGACCACTATGGCCATGGAGATATAGATGAATAATCTTGCAATTCAGTACCTGAGGTTGTAATTACAACCTGAATTGCAGAGTGACACACTTAAAAACAATTTTAATTGAAAAGATAGGACAAATTAACTTTTTAAAAAATTTTCAATGGACATAATTTCAAGTTGACATTGGCAGTTGGCATCCACTGATACATGGAACAGATACTAGGAGTCATAGCAACACATGGAGGCTCAGAGGGAAGATGAGGCAGCAGAGTTTGCACAGTATCTCTGAAACAAGTAAAAAAGTCAGGTCTCCTGTGAAGATGCTTTTTAAAAGCAGTCTCGTGAAATTGAAAGATAAGAAGGTGGCAGATGGCAGAGCAGAGCTCCATGCACAGCCAGACTTTAGTGAAAGAGAGCTGCAGATGCTCACACTAATGGAGATGTAGTGTGGTTCCTTTTCTGGATTGGGCCTAGTCGGCACCCATGTATTACTTTTGAAATATGTTCAACCATTCTACATGTCTAAGACCTCAGAACTTCTATTGCCTTTTAGACATGGTGAATCTGCACAAACCCTGAGGGCTAGGGAAACATGCTGCTGTGGGATGCCTGAGAGCTTGGGTACATGATTCTTAGGAGTATCTCTAGGATTACAGGGAATATTTCCTATCAGCCCTGTATACATGATAATAGATGTCTTCTACCATTACCCTCCTGTTATGACCAGATGTCTCTGTCTTGTTATTAATATCATTGGGTATTTAACTTCCCCGAGTCCACACATAGGGAAGAAGTAAGGCATAAAGCCTTCTGGAGTTTGTTTGGATGTGGTCAGAAAGGGCACCAGATCAGACAGTGTCCTAAAAGATGAGAGAGTAGGGAACCTGGTTTACTCCAAGAGTCAGGAGAGGAAAACCCTGGGTGAATGAATGTAGGTCTAAGAGAGATATCCAGGGGAATCCCTTGCAGGAAATCTTTCTAGGGGGCCCCACCTCAGGCCCCAAGACAAATCTAAGGCAATTCAGGTGCAGTTTTCCCCACAAGGAAGTGCGTTCTGGACCTCTATAGAGCCACAACAGGAAGAGCTGGACTGGACCTCTGTTCAACCACCAAACAACAACATGGTTTTACCTCCAGAGATGGGGATGTTAGCGCTGCATACTGGTGTTTATGGGTCTTTGCTGAGTGGCATGGTCTGATTTTTATTAGGAAGAAGTAGCATAACTATGCAGGGAATTTTTGTTGCTCCAGGAGTGATTGACATTGATTTTGAAGGAGTAATAATGGTTATGACTTATTCTCCAGATGGAATTTCAATGATAAAGTCAGGTCAGAGATTATTCAATAATTTTACTCCTTCAGGTGAAAACAAACATACAGGTTAAGAGAGATAAGAGAAGAAATTCTGGGTTTGACTCATCTGGGTGCTGCGGACTGCAATTGGTCCACAGCACCCAGAAACCACATATCTAAATGGCAGGGCCTTTTCTGGCCTTTTAGATGTGGATTATGACATGTCAGTTATTATAGACAGTCAATGGCCTTACAAATGGCCCAAAATAGTGACCATTACACAGTTACAAGGCATTTTTCAGATGTAGAATCCTGAGAGGTGTTGCAATGAATTTGCAGAGATGAGGAAGGTCATAAAGGCACATTTCAACTATTCCTTGTTCCTCATTTACCAAGAAATTTGTGGAGCCAAGACATTGTTCCAAATAGGAGTATATTTGTATGGCAAAATTGCAGTTTGTTTTTTTTTTTTTTTGGTTTTTCGAGACAGGGTTTCTCTGTAGCTTTGGAGGCTGTCCTGGAACTCACTTTGTTGACCAGGCTGGCCTCAAACTCACAGAGATCTGCCTGCCTCTGCCTCCCGAGTGCTGGGATTAAAAGCGTGTGCCACCAACGCCCGGCCAAAATTGCATGTTACTAATCAGATGTTTCAGCAAGGTTGTTGCCCAGTTAAGGACTAGGCTGGGAGAATAAGGGAGGAGTAGATCACATTTTGCCTAGTGAGAGACATCCAAGAGAGAGTAAGGCTATTTTTAGAAGAGGTCACTGTGAAGCCTGCCCTCCATATAGACCCTATTATATGGGAAAGTGATGGATGGGCATGGTTAGATCAGTGGCATCTATCGGAAGAAAAATTATAAGCTGTTCAGCAGTCAGTGCAGGAAAACCTGGACAGGGGTCACATTGAGCTTTCTAATTCTCCTATTTTTGTGATGAAAATGGAGTCATGAAAATGGAGACTGATACAAGATTTGAGAAAAGTTAACAAGACGATGCAATTAATGGGAGCTTTGCAGCAGGATTACCTATTCCCGCAGCTATACCAAAGGATACTTGTAAGCTTATTGTAGACTTGAAGAATTGATTTATACCATACCGTTGGCTCTTTAACACTGTCATAGATTTTCATTTAGAGTACCATCCGTTAATTTTAAGGTCCCCTTGAGGCTGTATCATTGGAAGGCTTTGCTTCAGGGCATGATGACAGTGCATCCTTGTGTCAAAAATTTTTAGCTCAAGCCATGTAAGTTGTTTGAGACAATTTCTGCAGGTCTCTCTTGTTCAATATATGGATGATATTTTGCTTGCCCATTAGTGTGAGGAGGTTTTGCTTTCAAAATATGGACAGCTGCAGCAGAGCCTTGCCAGAGCAGGTTTAATAACTGCTCCTGAAAAAGTGCAGAGACACTGGTTTTTCAGTATTTGGGACATATGTTATATCCTAAAGAAATTAGGCCTCAAAAATTAGAAATTAGAAAACATAGCTTTGTGATCTTTGAATGATTTTCAGAAGTTGTTAGGAAATATTCAATGGTTACATTCTTTTTTATGCCTACTGGTGATTTGAAACCTTTAAGTGATATTCTTAAAGGAGATAGTGATCCCAGTTAGACAGTTAACTGAAGAGGGTAGACAAGTTCTCCTATATTTACAGAATGCAATCAAGCATCAGCAGATATGTTATATTGCCTATGCAAATTCATGGGAAGCTAACTTCTGTTCTGTGACAGGAGGGACCATTACTGTGGTTGCATCTGCCTGTTTCCCAGCCAAAGTGTTAAATCCTTATTTTGAAATAGTAGCTTGTATGGTGCAGAAGTGCCATATGGAATCTTGGAGATATTTTGGCAGAGAACCAAGTGTAATACATGTTCCTTATACCAAACAACACATTAATTGGTTGTTTCCAAACAGTGATTTGTAGGCAAAAGCTTTCACTCAATTTTCAGGGAAAATCGATACTCAGTTTCCAGTACATAGGCTGTAGCAATTTGTGCTAATGCATCCTTTTATATTCATAAAATAGGAAGGAGTACTCCTGTAACAAATGCTATGTTAGTTTTTGCCAATGGTTCATCTAATGGAAGAACAGCTGAGGTTATACATGGCAATGAATATGTAGAGCAAACAGCTCGCTCCAGTTTCAGGTCAGATAGTTGAGTTATGAGCTGTTGCAATTGTTTTCCAGCTCCTAGTAAATGATTCATTTAATTTGTATACTGATAGCCATTATGTTTTAAAGCTCAAATGATAAAGACAATTAAGTTCATTGGAACTAGTAATGCTCAGGTTAGAATATTGTTTCAGCAAATTCAAAATGTAATTCATCTAAGAAGGTTGTCATATTTTGTGGGTCACATAAGTGCTTATTCAAAACTTCCCACTGACTGAAGGGAACGAAGCAGTGGATAGATTAACAAAATTGGTGACTTTGTCCCAGGTATAAAGTTCCCAGCAGTCACATAACTCTCATCCTGAAAACAGCAGAAGCTTAAGAAAGCAATTTGGTTTAACTAGAGAGACTGCTCATCAAATTGTCAAACAGTGTGATGTGTGCCCACAATATTTACCTGTAACTAATTTTAGGAGTAAACCCTCAAGTTCTACTTCCTAATCATTTATGGTGAATGGATATTACTCATGTTGCAGAATTTTGCAAGTTAAAATATGGGAACATGGCAGTTGATACATATTCTGGCTTCTTAATGGCCACCGTATAAACTGGAGAAGTCACTAAGCATGTGATAAGTCACTGATTAAAATGTGTTGCTTATATGGGAGTTCCAAAAGAGATAAAACAGACAATGGGTCTGGATATACTAGTAAAGCATTTCAGCAATTTTTTGCTCAGTGGCAAACTGATCACAAACCAGGAATTCCTTATAATCCTCAAGGACAATGAATTGTGGC